CATAGTTTGAACTCCAAAATCCATCTTATATTCAATTTAGTTCATATCTTTACCGATATTTAAAATGTCAAAAAATAAAAGGAAAATGAGAACCAAGTAAACGAGCTTTAAAACGAGCTTGTTCATGAACATAAATAAATAAAACATGTGTTCATATTCATTCGTTTACTAAAAAAACATAAAATTTTGTTCATACTTATTTAATTAAATTAATAAATAAATATTATATGAACAATTTATCTATACTTCATCAAACATTCTATTCATTTAGGATCATATTTATTTTTATTCTCACCGCTCTTTCTTTTACGAGGTATGTATCCTCTATGGTATATTAATTCTCATTTTTTCTTGATTTTTATATTCTCTTTTATTCTCTGTTGAGTCAAATCTTTACTTCAAAATTTAAAATAGAAAACAGTTAAAAATATTTAAAACCAATAAAAACTTTTAATTTTTAAGTTAAAATGGTTAAAAAAAATAAAATCGCGCTCATCCTTAAATATGGCCAAGGCAATGTAGCTCTAAACAATCATAGATCTGTTTTAGTTTTTATTTCAAACATCACATTAGTACACTAATTTTTATATTTAATAGTCGAAAATGTTTTCAGACTATTAAAGATAATTATTTTCGAAAAAGTGTCATTTTACAAGGAAAAAGATTTGTTCCTATGGTGCTTGGAGAGTGTTTTATTCTTTATTATTTTCATCGATTTCATAGATATATATTTGAACTTTACTTATAAAGTGGAATGTATGTGGAAAGAACACATAAATCGAGGCAGTCTCCTCCTTTGGGTGTGCACTGTATCACATTTCTCTCTCTTCTCCTACTGAGTTCTTCCTTTCCTTATTGTTCTTTTCATTTTGCTTTCACAATCTCTGCAAAAACCTGTGAAATCTAACTATAGAGGGCAATCTATGCAAAAAAATCCTCTAATTTGCTTCAGGTTTCTTTTTCTAAAGTCTCAAACCTGGAATTCCAACCGGCTTTCTTCATATCTGTCTTCCATCAATGTACTCGATTTTATTACGCTCCAACCGTACTTTCTCCTCCATTTTCATCTGTGGTCTTCTCTTGTCTCTCTGTTTTTCATATTAAAAACTACTCATTTAAGTCTAAAAATTTTTAACTCTTTCGCTTCTCGTTTTCGCTGTCTTGTCTCAATCATCCTTGAAACATTTCTTCATCGGAGTTCCTTGTTTTGTGTTGTAATCCTTCTGCATTGTGCCCGAGAAATAAAAACCACCACATCAAATGATTCTTTTTTTTTGGTCATTAGAAAAATGGGTTTAGTTTCATGATCTGGGTCATCTTAGTAAAGTGGGGAAAATGGGTTGTGGAAGCTCAAAAGCTGATAAAAATGAAGCCTTGCGTCTATGTAAAGAAAGAAGGAGATTCGTGAAGCAAGCTATTGATTCGAGGTATGCTCTAGCGGCTGCACATGTTTCTTATATTCAATCTCTTAGAAACATTGGCGTAGCGTTAAGGAGATTTGCTGAGCTGATATTTTGATAGAGTCTTCTCTATCAACCTTAGCTACCGAGGTTGATAAAACGCCTTCCCCTTCCCCTTCCTCCTACCCTTCACCATCTCCTTCTCATTTAGGAGCTGAGGTTTCTGACTCGCCGTTGAATAATGAGAGTCCCATTTCGCCGGCACCGGTGAATTTGAGTTATATGAAGGCAGGAAACAGTGGTGCTGTGACTTTTATGATTAATCCTAGTTTTGTGGAGGATGAGTCATTGGCAATGGCAATGCCCCCGCCCCCACCTCCTCCTTTTGAGTCTGGTTCTTCATGGGATTTCTTTGATCCTGTTGATGACTGCGAGAGCTTTAGATTTGTGGGGAATAATGGAGTGGATACTGATTTTGAGGATTTGAGAGAAATTAGGAGCAAAGAGATTGATCATGGTGGTTTGGATGAAAACAATGAATTGAACAAACGAATTTCTTGGCCAGAATCAGGGAGAAATGCTGTCAAAACATTCGAGAATGATGTGTTCTTTATTGGATCAGGGGGAAGAAATATAAGGCGGCAGACAAATGACAAGGAAGTGAGTCAGCTGGGTGTGCAACATAATGTCAAAGGACCAGGTGAAACTTTGATAAGCAATTGTGTTCTTGAACAATCAATTTCAAAGAGAGAAAAGGCTGCTGTAGATGATGATTTATCTGCTGACAAAGAGGACCCTTCTGAGTTTATTACCCATAGAGCCAAGGATTTTCTTTCGAGCATAAAAGATATCGAACATCGTTTTTTTCGAGCCTCCGAAGCAGGCAGAGAAGTCTCTAAGATGCTTGAGTCTAACAAAATCAGGGTTGGATATTCTGAAGCCAAAGGTAACTATTTGTATTCATGAGAGGCATTTTATTTCTCATTGAACTTCTAATTTTGTGTTCGCTCTCTTCTGTATATACTAATGATTATTCTTCTGCTAGTATCTTATGCATTAAATTAATTCTTGTAGGGGGATACTCTGCTTTTATGGCTGGTTTTCAACTTGTTTGCTGCAGAAGAACAACTGCTCTTGCATCCCATGGTAAGTTCTGGCATCTGTATATGGCCTGCTGAGTGGAACTGTAAGTTTATTTTACTGGAGAAATGACTTATTACAATCTTGATATTTTGCAATAATGGAGTCTTTGGCACTGAGAAAAAAGGTTCAACTGTTTGGTTCTCTCTTTTATGTTAGTTATGGTCATAATCTATCTTGCATACAGCTAATTGAAGGATAGTCTCAACTTAAAGATTTTTATTTGTTTAACATCTTTAGATAACCACTAACAAATATTTCACTCTTTTTTTTCATGTTATGATTTTGTAGATTCAGTACCACGTGTAACTAAAGTCATACGTTGGAAGAGGTCAGCATCTTGGAGGTCTTCTTCATCAAGGAATCCGCTAACCACAACACCTAAAGACGACGCTGAGGACAGTGGAAGTGACTTTATTGAAGAGTTCTGCATGATTGCTGGTAGTCATTCATCCACCTTGGACAGATTGTTTGCATGGGAACGGAAACTCTATGATGAAGTTGAGGTATCAATAGAAACCCTCAAACGTATTTTAATGGTGAAACAACATCTTCTTTCCTATACATCTATATTGCAAACTTGAACTTGTGAGAGCAATGTTGGTTTTTCGGCGTAACTTCTAATCCCATTGTTAGTTTTCTGTGGCACGAGATACAACAGTTTGGAACATAAAGGATTGTTTTTGTTTCCCTAGCCATGGTGTGTGTGTGTTTTTTTCCTCTTTTGATGCGTGGGGAATTTTTTCATTTGCTCATGAGGAAAAATTTCCCATCCACTTGGGGCTTAGTTTTTTGTATCTTCTTATTTTCCCAGGTTAATTTTCTTTTTCTCTGTCCTCACAAATTAAGTTATTTAGACTCCAAAGTTCATATTCCTGATCTTTTAATTTTTCAATGTATAGTTTAGTAGTATTGCCATAAATCCTCTCTGACAGCGCGATGTTTGCACTCAGACTAGTGAATCTATCAGGAAGGAGTATGACCAGAAGTGTGATCAGCTCAGGAACCAGTTCGCTAAGGATCATAGCACTCAAGTAATCGATAAAACCCGGGCAGTTGTAAAGGATCTGCATTCCCGGATTAGAGTTGCACTTCATTCTGTTAATACTATATCGAAGCGGATTGAAAAAATGAGAGATGAAGAGTTGCAGCCACAACTTGTAGAATTAATTCAGGGGTGAGTTCGAAAAGAAACCCTTTAATTAGACAATTTTGAATGTTGGGAACTTTACTCTTATGCAGTAGAAATCTAGAGCGTTCTCAGATCATCGATATTGATATCCCATAATGCTCGTTTTTGCAGATTGTCAAGGATGTGGAAGGTCATGCTTGAATGCCATCATTCGCAGTATATCACCATCTCACTGGCATACCACTCAAGGAACTCAACCGGTGCACCACATGGAGATACACGCAGGCAGATTTTGGCTCAGCTTCGGCAAGAGATTGAATGCTTTGGTGTAAGCTTTACGGATTGGGTCAATAGCCTTGCATCTTATTTGGAAGCTATGACTGGTTGGCTGCAAAACTGTATCATAGAACCACAAGAACGTTCGAAGAATAGGTATCCATTCTCTCCTCGTCGATACCTGGGATTTGGACCACCAATACTCATTCTTTTTCGTGAGTGGTCAGCTGGAGTAAAAGCTTTGCCAGCCAAGGAACTCACCGTTGCCATCAAAGCCTTCTTATCCGATCTCTCTCATCAAATGGACCAGCAAGTAGAGCAACTGCCCAAAAAAGAGAAACTGGTCGATGCAAATGATGAGGAATCCAAGAGCAGAGATGGTCTTAACATGTTAACCGATGGTAACACAAATGATGATGCGTCTTCGAAGTTATGCTGCATTCAAACAAGTTTGACTCGTCTACTCGAAAGACTAAATAGGTTTTCTGAGGCATCTTTGAAAATGTACGAGGACGTTAGACAGAAAACCGAGGCAGCTCGCATTACATACCTCAAGTTGCAGGCCAACTAGATTTTGTAAGGCTATGTTTTATGGAATATAAACCATATTAAGGTTTCCTGGGTTCTGATGAAAATTGAGAGGAGTTCAAGACAATAAATAAGCAGGATTTATATATCTTTTAATGTATTGTGTGTTCTTATATAAATTTTAACATATTAAGAGTTAAATATATTTTTAATGCAATATCTAAAACTATCAACCTACATGATTAAACTCATACTCTCTTGAATATTACACAATCGTTGAGCTGAAACTGAACTAGTAATTTTTAATATTTAGAGGAATAATTATATTCAAAGTATTACTATTTTTTAATTTCAAAATTAGATTTCAAATCCCCATGTTTCCCGCCCTCACCATTTTTTCCTTTTAAAAATTAAAATCCTTTCCCATCTAGCGTTTCTCCTCGTTCGTTTTCATGTTTCCTTCATTATACATCCTCAAATCAGTAGATATTTCGTATTTCTGAAATCCCACTTCTTCTTCTTCTTCTTCTTTCAAATTCCCTTTTTCTTTTGAATGAACCCTTGTTTTTTTTTTTTGAAAAATCTTTTGCTTTTTAACAGATCGTAAGCTGAATTGGGGATTTAGTTTTAGTGTATTTCATAATGAGCGGAGACAATTTTACGGACGGGATACCCAAAGTCCGTCCGGTTCTGTGTGACGTTACAAATCGATCAGTTAAGAGAGGTTTTTCTTCGATTTCGGAAAAGCTAGGGTTTAATTCTAAGGCAGATGCAGATTCCCAATTAGCAAAACAAGTACGTGTAGGTGCAGAAAATTTCATCAAACAGAAATCTGAAACACCCCGATTTGAACCAAACGCTAAACTTTTACCTACATGTAGTGGCGACATTGATACTTCAAAAGAGGATTTAGTTTCGGTCAACGACAAAACCAGTGAGTCGAAAGAAGGGTTCGAATTGTCTGATGGTGAGGACACGTTAGAAGGTGAAAGTGTTGCGGAAGTGGGTCGAACATTGAATGAGAATAGTCGGAATGCGGCTAAAGATCTGGGCGTCGGTAGATTGGCTTCGAGCAAAGGTGGGTGCATCGAGTGGTCGAGGTTGCCTAACTCATTCTCGCAGTCTTCTAAGTCATTTGAATTGGAGAGGTGTGTTGGACTCAAGAATGATGGCCGCACAAATTTGGATGCCAATGGTATGCTCAAAGCTTGCTTTTGTTCTATTTGCTTGAAAGGTAATTGCTTTAGCTTATTATCTTGGATTTTGTTGTTTTCTGCATTTGTGGGTAAGAAAGGTTTCTCTCGTAATATGTTGTTTAACTGGGATGTGCTTGCTTTACACTGGTAATCAGCTGCTTACATTTTGTCGGACCTTCATTATCAGGATCTCAAGGGTCGAATTTCTGGTAAGTTGAATAAGTGCTTTGCTGGATTTAATCGTGACAGAACATGTTCCTTTCTGTATTAATCTTTCCGACACTTTCGCAGTTTTGAAGAAAAGTCAGAAAGAAGCAAGAATTTTAGTTCAGAAAAGTAGCAAGGGGAATCAGGCTGAAATAAGTGACCAGGGAAATGCCGGTAAATCTTCAAAATTAGAGTCCGACCTCACTAGCCAGTGGAGATCACTCTTTCTTAACATGGAGGATATATTTGTTACTGAAGGCAACCAGCTTGTAAGTTTGATACATTCTTATTCAGCCATATATTAATTTCTCATGCCTCTTTTGTTTAATGCAAGCCTTTGGTCCACATTTGGATTTTGGGCACTTTTGAAGATTTTATCTTTAATCTATGCTTCATTGCTGGAGTTCATGGCTACTTTTTAACCGGATAAATCATAGGATTTCTAATTTTCAATATTTTGGGTAGGAAACTTCATTTATATTCTCATATGTGATGGATACAATTGAACTTTGATTGGCAGCAATCCAGTTACACTGCACTGAAAGATTTGAGGGAGAATTGCAAGATTGATCTAGAGCGAATAACAGGGATGCCTTCAGAGAAATAGAAGTGTGCCTCTGATGCGTCATCCGATTGTTGGTACCCAAATTCCAGCCATTTGTTTTTGTTTGTCTGCACCTCTGTATGCCTTAACAGATTCTATATTCTTATTTGGTAAACTTTAATGTGTTTGCAGATGTCAAAAAGTGTAAAATGTATGATCTCAGTTTGCAACTACTACTATTTCGTAGTATGCGCTTAAAATATTTTCCATTTTAGTGAACCTCGCATCTTATAAACCTCTTTGCTTATGCCTTATACTTTTTCCTGTAATTCTGTGTGGTTAGAGGTGATAAATCATTTAATTTATCTGCTCTGTTTTCTTGGTACCAATCCTAAAACAAATTTGATTCTGAATTGAATTACTTATTATCTGCATTTTAATCATAATGTGATACAATTCAATCTAAATGCACAAGAACTTTCTACTTGCTTGTAAAAGTCGATAACTTTGACGACAGAAAATTTAAAATGATCTGCACCACCTAATAGTAACCTCTACAGGTGGTCGAGCCTATGACTGGTGGGTGGATTTCTTTGCTACCGAGTACCATTAATGTTCATGTGCCTCTTGTTAGGTTCCCCCCCCCCCAATAGAGTTTAGCCTCTTGTGTTGGTTGATTATGAATTATTGTATTTATTGTGGGTCTAGGCATCCATTATGAAGATGGTGGCATCTATTAGTGGTGAAAAAGCTGGAAGTGTTAATTGTTTGGCCTTACTTTTACGGTTGCTACTTAATAGTATGAAACTTAATTGTTTGTTTTATCTTATCATGTAATAATGACTTAATGAAACCAGAATCTTAAGTAGAAGTAACTTAAACTTTATGTGAGCCTAATTTGTGTTTTAAAAAGATTAGGTGTGCAAAAAAAAAATTCTCCAACTTTACCTTTGAATGCTACGCTTTAATATGAATTATATCAGTGTGTTGCTCATTAATATCTTGAGAAAGTATAGTGAAAAAGTGATTTTGAAAAGTTGACTTTAAGATTTTAGTGTATAGTATTGATTTAAAAAGTACTTTTGAGAAGGTAAAATATGTGTTTTAGATAATATATTGTGAATTAAAAATATATTATTTTAAAATTATTTATATTTTAATATATTAAATACATAAACTTAAATTATAATAAAATATATTTTTCTTGTAAAGGTATTAATAATAAATTATTGAAACAAAAAAATTATATATTTATAATTTATAAAAATAAAATTTCAAATATATAAATCTTTACGTGAAAATAGTTGTTGAGAACCTACTAGTTAAGAAGGATAAAAGGATACAACAACAACAACAATAAAATCATATTCTCATATATAATGAGGTAAGGGAATTTAGGGTAGTAGGTTGTCCCAAACGCCAGGTTGAGAGCAACTTCCATAAAAGACCTCCAACTGTCAAAAAAATTAAAAATAAAGATAAAATACAATACATGTATAAATAATTACATTCAAATTAAATTGTCTTCAAAAAGCTGGAAAAAGTAGCTTTTGCTGTTGGTTCAACATTTGCCGTTCAAAACATGTTTATATCTTTCTTGGGTAATTGTTTGACAATCCTTTATGTTTTAAATGAACTTTTAATTATTTGAGGTGGTACGAATGAGAAGCGAGAATTGCATTATGTCAATTGGGATCGACTTTGTCAACCTCCAAGCCTCGGAGGGGTTGGCATAAAAAAATGCAAGCTAATAATGAAGCTTTTGTTGGAAAAATTAATAAATAATTAAATAAAATTTATGTCACTTGATGAACATACTTATTATTTGGTATAAAATTACATCAATTCAGTTATACCTATTAGTTTTTCAACAAATCTCTTCATCAAAAGGTCATAACATTTTGATTAATTTTCTCTCCCCTATATATAAATTAGTTGAGGCATAATCTTAGACACAACTTGAAACAACTTTGAGAGACAACTTCGAGACATAATTCACAAATTTGAATTAGGAAATCACTTAGAAAATTCCTTTTAAATTCGTTCTTTCCGGTGATAGAGAAAGACAAGATTGTGTTCGACTGATCACTACGGTTGTGCTTACTGTTGTGATCATTTGTTGTTGTATCATGGAAGACCGACGTCCAACGTTACTCAAAGCACCGAGGAGATGACGAATTTGTCTTAAGGAAACTATTCATACAAGCCTAAAAAAAATCCTTATTCGGTTTATCATACTCTACTCACCCGATTCATTGTCTAAATATGAGTAAACCAATTTCTTGCCTCTACTTTAAGTTTTATTTATTTTGCTTCGTTCGATCATATAATAATATTTATTATTATTATTATTATTATTATCTTGGATTAACAATTTTGTCTAACAATCTTAAGACAGATTTTGTATTTTATTTTACAATTCTAATCCGAGATGAACTTTATAAGTAATTGATTGTGACAATTTATGTCATTGAAATTCTCAAGTGGAGCAAGGTACGCAACCCTACTTGCATGAAAATCATAATTTTTTTTCAAAAGCATTAACTTTGAACAAAATGATACAAGTGTCATATAATATTCGATCACTGCATTATTTCTCTTTGTAAAACTAACATGTTAGTTGTTTGCTATTGGTGATGAGATTATATATATATACACCTATGAAACCTTGTTGGATTATAAGTCTTGCATGTTGGATTAAATCTCTTCAAATTCAAGTTGTGCCTTGTCCTTTGTGGTTGCGTTTCGCTTTAATCTGAAGGTTGATTGTTAAATTTTAGTTGGTAATATTAGAATTTCGATCAAGAAATAGAAAATGTATGTGTAACCATTCAATATTTCTTTTATAATATTAATATATTGAGATTATATTATTGTTTCAGGTTTTATTAAATTCCCACGGATCAACAGAAGCTAGTTATGTTTCGAGAATTAATTTATTAAATTCTCATCGTTTAACAGAAATTGGTTCTGTTTTGGGTTTTATTCCCGTTGTCCAATATAAGTTGGTTTTGTTTCGGATTTTAGTTTTAAATCCTGACGTTTAACGAATTCAACAAAAATATTGTTGATTGTGAATTTCTGTTTCGGGATTTTAATTTTACTAAATTCCTGTCGTTTAACAGAAATTACTCAATTGTTGGATTTTAGTTTTGACTAAAATTCATTGTGATAAATAAGGTACCGAACACAATTATGTGAACAAAAATCGGGCCTATAATTCTGTTTCAGGATTTAAATCCTGTTGTTCAACAAAATTTATTTGATTTACTGTTGATAACAGAAATCGTTTGGATGTAACAAAATTGTTACAAATTTTGTTTTAGAATTTTAATTTTTAATTAAATTTTTTTGTTCAACAGAAACGAATGGTAAAATAAATTGAATTAACTTTCAATTTATTGTTGGAATATTTACAAATTATGGTTACGTGTTTTAAACGAAACAATGGTAACCCCACTAATTCACCTAGCTCGTGATTTGAAATGTTGATTCCATTTCAGAATTTGAATAAAATTCAACAATGTCAGTGGTTGTGAGCCACAACAAGAAGCATTTGAAATTCATGAATAGAATTTCAAGACATAGCGACATAAGATGTTATATTTAATCATGTTGAATATGATCAAATATAGGATGATCCTCATATTCATAGAGAGGATGAGATAGACATTGTATTCATTAAAGCTTAAAAGCATTCTAAGTTTCCATGTCGGAATTACATCTCGAATGGATTGTCAGATACACCATATGAAGTGTATAGTATCCATAAGATTACTAAAGAATTATGAATGACATTTGGTCATGTTCTGAGTTGTTAGCAAATTACCTTTAAATAAGGTAACTTACAAGAAAATAGGTGAAACACCATATGAGTTATGGAAATATAGAAAACTCTCCTATTACTACATCAAAGTGTGGGGGTGCCTTGTATAAGTATAATGGTAAGTCGAGACATATACGTCGTAGACATAATATCATTAAACAATTGATCTCAACTAGAGTTATCTATATTGATTTTGTAAGATTAAAAGATAACATTGTGGATCTGCTAAACAATGAGTTGAATCGAGATCAAGTTGATAAACATCGAAAGGAATGTGACTAAAGCCCATTAATATTTAAGGCGCTATATGAAGGAAAACCCAACTTTGTTGACTGGAGATCCCAAGTTCGAAGTTCAATAGGACAACCTACTTGCATAGACCTTGTGAGGTCACTGTGGGGATTCTTATCCCCAAGTTCATTCCTATGATGAAAACAATGACTAAAATGTGGAAAAGGTTAAGCAATGCTTTTAATGACCACTATGTGTTTCGGTGAGCTGAACAACATAAGTCACCTATGTGAAAGTGAAGTGGAGCCGCTTCAAAGAGACTATTGGGGCATAGTTCTCTAAACTCTTGCAAAACCAGGAGATGTTCACAGCTATATGGACATAACCATGAGAACCAAATTCTTGTCAGTGAGATATTTGTGTGAAGTATGTCATCGCTTACACCAACAACAAGACAGTTCAAGGACATTACGTCTACTGGATAGCTAGTAAGGTAAACATATTTTCACAAGGGAAGGTTCAAAGGGGGACGCCTACCTATCCTATGCAATTATCGAACGTAGAATCTATCACCATATCGAGCCAGTGTTTGAAATCATCAATTTCATTCATGTAGGGATTGTTGGAAAAATTAATAAATAATTGAATAAAATTGATGTCTTTTAATAATAAGTTATGTCACTTGATGAACATGCTTATTATTTGGTATAAAATTGCATCAATTCAATTATACCTATTAGTTTTTCAACAAATCTCTTCATCAAAAGGTCATAACATTTTGATTAATTTTCTCTCCCCTATATATAAGTTAGTTGAGCCACAATCTTAGACACAACTTGAAACAACTTTGAGACATAATTCACAAATTTGAATTAGGAGATCACTTAGAAAATTCCTTTCAAATTCGTTCTTTCCGGTGATAGAGAAAGGTAAGATTGTGTTCGACTGATCACTATAGTTGTGCTTACTGTTGTGATCGTTTGTTGTTGTATCCTGGGAGACCGACGTTCAACGTTACTCAAAGCACCGAGGAGATGACAAATCTGTCTTAAGGAAACTATTCATACAGGCCTCAACAAAAATCCTTCTTCGGCTTATC